GATAAAGCATTCGATAGTGATGAATTTGATAATGAAGCATCTGACTATGAAGAATCTGATAATAAAGCATCTGACTAAACATCAAAAGAAATAAATACGTAGTATAAATCATAATTATCAATTTGATATAAATAAAAGCTTCATGCTAAGTGAAATGAACAAAATGATATATGCATACTTATGTGTAGTTAAGTAGAAATAAGCAGCTATAAGTAGCAAGCAATGTATAGCAATAAGCGATATAAGCAATGCATAGCAATGAGCAGAAATGAGCAGCAAGCAATGTGTAGCAATAAACAGCAATAAGCAGTGTGCAGAACATACATAAATAAAACCCCATACAAATGGTTCTTGTGTAATAATAAAACCTAATAAGAGATACTCATTGAAAATAAATACTATGAATAACGAAATACTGCCAAAATACAATTTCTGTAATACAAAACACCATCATCTTGTAGTTGTGTTAATGAATAATGAGAAGGAGATTTCCTTTTATAGAATTGCAAAGAAATTTTCTTAGTCGATCAAACACAAATTAGTGCAAAGACACATACATTTAGTGAAGTATACTAAGGCTTTATTTAATTTTCCGTTAAAGATATGTATATACATATGTATAGAATCTACATAGTATTGTGTGTCTATGAAAACTTTTGCCCAAAATAGTATTAAAATTAATCACATTATTGTATGTATTGCATATCAGATTGTGGCTTAGATCGATTCTGCTAAACTCACTGTTTCTGTTATATTGACAAAATCTATCACTTTTAGTCAATGTAATGTATGATGGTGAAAAATGCATATGGATATGTAAAATATGCATCGTGTAGATTGTAGACAGTATATATATTACAGATAGTAACCATGTTAGTGATAGGAGTATAACTCAAAAGATTATATAGTAACAAATATATATATAAAGACCAAAATACCTAACCCTAAATAAAGAAACTCAACTTGGCTAGAATTTAGCATTCTAATAATTTCCTGATAAGCAAAATTTAATATAGCAATAGCGACAAGAATTAGTGACTAAATTCCATAACACATATTAAGAAACCCGTGACGTAACCTAGAGTTCTATTTACTTAGACTAAGTCTTTCCACATCTTGATCGAAGCCTTGTTATTAGGGTTTCATTATATTGTAGTAGTTTGGATAATTTTAGTATAGTAAATTGCTCCTATTCTGACCTATCATTATTCACTTGTTCATTTTTAAATTATATGAGTTGACCAAACATATAGAGATATGATTTATAGGTTTTCTCAAATCACTCATATTTCATTGGGTATTAATTGTTCAGTTGTAGATATATTCTAAGATATTTAGTTAATTCAATATAAAGAAATGCTTTAAAATTTTTTTATATTAATGAAATATTAATATTTTATTAGACATACTAGATATTATCAAATTCATTAGATTTAGCCGGGACTCAAAATATGAGACCAACCCGACTAGATCACAAATTTCTCGATATAACCTGACTCATTCCATATTCTAATTAATCATATGAATTCTATAATTAACCAAGATCTCTATGGAGTCCAAAATAGTATTTTCTAAAAATGTGATTTGCTCATATCAAAATATTAAATTAGTTTATTCATAAAAATTAACTTCACTTTATGCAAAATATATATAATATTTGACAACAGTATTTACATGATTTGACACTTTAATGGAATATTGTAGAATCACTTTTGTGCCATTTCAAGTAAAAATTTATCTGAATAATATAAAACGTCTAAAAAATGATATAAATATAGTTTTTTTTAGAATTTATATAAAATCAGTCATTGTTTTGTTTAATAATTCAGCAATATTCAATTGATGAAACTAGGTATGCTATATTTGAGTACAATTGTGAAATAAATGCATATAAAAATAAGGCAATTATTTAGTTTTTAAAGAAAATTATTTTGCAAATAAACATAATCAAATGATTATAAAAAATAAACAGATTATAAATGTAATTGACTGGAAAGTTTTTTCCATTTCGTGACGGTACTTTGTTAACTTATCCAAAGTTTTTGTCCTTTCAACGTCTCTTGACGAATAATTAATAGCAAATGCATGCTGGATAAATTTACACAAATGTTGCATGAATTTTGAGCCTTTAATTCATTTATTATAGTGGTATTTAACTATTTACTTAATACATGAGCAGCTGCAAACTCGTTTACAAAAGCAGTAATCTCTTCTTTTTGCAAAGGACCTATGATTAATCTATAGTTAATAGTTAATTGAAGAATATTAATAAATGCAAAATAAGAATAGTATGCATTATATAATACTAAATAACCTTGTTTTCTTAAAATTGTTAACCAAATCCATGATACCATTGACTAATTTGTTTCAGAAATTACCAAAGTATCTATTTGCTGTTTGAAGCCATTCAATACCTTCAGTGGAATTGAGTTCACACTTAAAGATTTTTTGTACCAACTCCTCAAATACACCTTTTTTGGAATTTTGAACACAAAGAAAGAGATATTTTAGCTCTTCTAAAAAATCACAGCAAGCCTTTGACTTGTCTTCTCAGTTTGACAGTGTAATTAATGACCTGGAGAGGTAGAAGGCATAAGTTATATCTTTCTATAACCAGTGTTTGTATTGATAAGCACATATTATTTGCTAATTGCAGAATATTAGGATTTTCGCATAACCATAAACAAGGCTGATAAATTGTTATTTTATTAAAGGGTGAAGGAATGGCTTCATTAATTGTGTCAAACTGAAAGTTGGAGTTATTCATCATATTATGAATATTATTTATCATCACTAGGAATATCATCACTTAAAAGTTCATTAATGATTCATTATAGTTGAGATATAATAGTTTTATTCTTTTTTTTGCGTCCTCTTTTAGTTTTAGTTTGTGTATTATTATTCTGGATGTTAAAAGACAAAAACACAACTGTTTTTTCTGGCTGCTTTTTGTGACCTCTTTTGACACCTGCACTTTCACATTGTTCACTTGGTAGAATAATAGTACTATTCAGAGAATTGTTAAGGTTCTCTAGTGGATCAACTATTTGTTTTTTACAGCCTCTTTTATTTAAATTAGTCATGTTTATTTTTTTATTTGCACATTTCTTGGCAGTTTAAGAGCTCATAATTATAAGAAAAAAAAGAAAAAAAATAGCTTTAAATAAGATAAATAAAATTTTTATATTTAATAGATTCTGGATTTTAAATTTTGAAATCCCAGACAATAATATTTTTCAAAAGCATCTTTTTTTTTTTACAACTTATTTTTTTGCAATGTATCACAATCATGATGCCCTCTATAGACAATGTAAACTTACATAAGACAACCCAACATTTCTAATATATATTTGAACAATAAAGTACATACTAATAAAGAAAAAATTGACTACGAAAGGATGAATATTTGTAAGATACTAAATAATATAGAAATTGACCATGTAGTATCTAATAAAGATTTATTCGATAAAGCATTCGATAGTGATGAATTTGATAATGAAGCATCTGACTATGAAGAATCTGATAATAAAGCATCTGACTATGAAGAATCTGAGAATAACGTATTCAACAATAAAGAATACGATAATGAAGTAATTAATAATAAAGGATCCAATGATAAAGTATTAGATAATGAGGAAATTGATTATGAAAACTTTTTTTATAATGAAATGCTAAATGATGAAATAACAATAAATTTTACAAATGAGGTATTAAGCGAAAAAGAGCTTGATAAAGTTATTGACAAGGTACTAAATACTGAAAAAATACCATCTATTGGCAGAGAGTATTCTCTATATTTCAACAATTTTACTGAAACATTGATGTTTTGCTGGATTCAAAAACACAGCATAAGTAATAAAAGTTTAATTATTATTTAAAAAAATTAGAAAATTCTAAATATATTATATTTTTAATAGCTTCTCAAGCCTATGATGAATTGGTTGATATAATTCATAATCTACAGTTTAAAAGTAAAGATATTGTAATGAATGTTTGTCAATTTAAGAAGTATCAGCAATAATTACCTTTGTTTCTAATAAAAATATGAAAGATTTATATTTTAAGCAAAAAAATGCTATCTATATCCAAAAATATTAAAAATATGTATTATTTATCTATTATTGATATAATTTGGCATTCTTTTAATAACCTATTATTGATTAGTCAAATGTATTTTGGGCTGGATCAGAATGTCTAAAGAAATCAAGAACTTTGGCATGAAAGTCTATGAAAAGAATCTTCGTGATTTGGACAAGCATCTGTACAAAGCAATGAATATATGTTATTTATTGAATTGTTATTTATTTATATGTAAAATTTAAGTATATTTATACTATATATTAAAAACAATCAACTTTAGCGATATACAATTGTGAAGATTTTATAGTTTATAGAGAATCGATGGAAAATAGATTTGGTCAAATTTAGCAATAGTAGATGCAGATGGTGAGCTAAAATAACAGTTCAACATATTTTAACATTTGAGAAATTGCCAAAGAACTTACAGAGCATTAATTGAAGAAAAATGTCACATAATAAATTGTGGTTGTTAGATAGAGAAATAAAAAATGTGATTATAGTAATTGAATTACAGGACATTGTCAAAATCATTACAATTGCTATGCTTTACAACAAAAATAATATTAATGTGTTTTCGATTTTTATTCATGAAATTCTTTATAAACATCAAGGATGTTGGAAGTTAAGGGATATTATATATTCTTATAAACACCTATCAGAATTTGCAGTGTTAGATGTGCCAGATATGAATCTTCTAGTCTATAAATTATATATCAATTTTTATTATGATGATTTTGGGATATTTCGTAATGTCTACTATTCACTAGGAGGGTTTATATACAAATGATAAATTTACCTTTTAAAGAAAGAAAGAAACTAAGGAATTATTTTGTACTTGGATTCATTCTATTCGAGGTTGTTTTAATAAATTTATTAAACCTTTCATTAATGAGATAGAATAGCTAGAAAATGGTATAATAATAGATATGCAAAGAAATCCGAGTCTTGTTATTGCAAGTCTTGGTGATGTAACTGCCAACTTGCTTCAGGACAATAACTTGGTTGGTGTTAAAAGGCATGGTGCCATAAGAGGTTGTTGAACATGTAATGTAGTGAAAGAATTTTGGATCTCTGAAGGTTTTGATTTGTCATTAGTTTTCCATTACCACCATCTTACTGACAATCAATTCAAAGAAATTTCTATAGCGCCAACAATAACAAAATATAAAGAACTCACTACAATATATAGATTGCATTTATTGCTACCAATACTTGATAGATTAAAAAGAGAAAGACATCTTCAGTTCCCACATGACATTTATCATCTTATAGCTAGCAAAGTGTTAAAATTTTTCAAGATAACAATTAAAGCACTTTCAAGTGAAAGCAAATCAGAATTTATGAAATATTGGAAATCTTTTAAATATCCAAGAACATGGCAAAAGTTACCAAATCTGATCTTTCACATTGACAATTTTATGATATTGGATTGCTTACATTTAGCTATGATGATCCCATTTATTCTTAACAGATTCTTAAAACTATCGTCTTTCAAAAATCCTGAATTAACTTCATTTCAAAGTCACATAGGGGTTTCTAAAAATGATTTAGCATAATACTTTGGTTAAAGTACTAGGTATTAATGGCAAAAACTATGACAATAGCGTTTAAATATTTTTTTACAGAAGATGATTATATTGAGTTGCACAAATGTTTAAATAGTGAAAAGAAATTATTTTCTTAGATAATTATGCATATTACCTATTAATTGCATAGTTTATTAAATAAATAATGATTTATTACAATAATTATGAAATAGGCATTCAAAGATTTTAAAAATTTTCCTAATTTACATGCTAACTATCATTTCATTCAGCATGCAAAAAATTTTGCGACTTTGCTAAATACAAGTGTAGAGACTAAGAAAATGATACACCAGATATTTAAAAATATTGCATTGTGAACAAACTGAAAAAATATATAACTTGACCTGCTAAAATGATATATAACATTGTTTGCAGTACGGCATCTATTTGATGGTGGTGTTGACAAATAGTTTTCTTTTACAAATAATAATTTAGTGAATCTTCTGTATCAGTTAAAATGCTTAATGCATGATTGGTTTATTATTAAAAACTCTTTCATTTCAGAAAATACAAAAGATACAAGTAATTGTCTATATTAAAATTGAGATATTTTTAATTAAATTAAATAATCTTACATTATTTCTTTGTTAGATGAATGTATTTCAAATATACTTTTAAGAAAGCGTATACCAAAAAAAAAAGTTAAAGAAACTTTTCCAAATAACTCTGACTTTTGTAAGAAACTGGCCTTAATATATCAAAAAATGGGCTATGAATCAGCATTTCTTAAAAACTCATGTCAGCACTATGAAACTGCTTGTTTTTTAGAAGACAATAGAATTGGCATACGATATTGCCTACAAGTTGGTGATGTTGTTACTATAACATCTGAGAAAGAGAGAGCAAGTCTTGCGATTCTACAATTAATTTTTAGCTATAAAAGGAATAATTGGCAATTCGCCTTTATTGTTGTTGATAGGTTTGAATTTACTAATCAAACAAAGCTCGAATGTCCAGTTTATAAGCTTTGAGACATGCTAAGAATCTATACTATAAGCAAAGTTAACACAAATAATTTAGTGCATTTTATTCATTATTGTAATCATAATGAATGCATCAGTGGCAATCATAATCTTAGGAATAACTTATATATTAAAAATATGTATTTCTTCAAAGTTGTATAATACTTGAAATTTAAATATGTATATAGTATATTTTATTCTATTATTGTTATTAGAATGTTATATATATAGTACGGTGCAATAGTTTTATTCTATTTTTGTCATTAGAATATTACATTGATGCAGTACGTATTAAAATTTTCATGTATAGCTAATTTATTTAATCAAAAGTTGAACTTATGATCTCTTGGCTTGTCGAATTCCCTATTTCTTTTCTTTTTAATGTACAGGATGGTAAAGCTTTGATACATATTTTAACACATGACTATCTATTATCACCTGACTTGACCAATCAGGATGCTAGATCACATGTAACGTGAACATCTACATAACGATAATAAAGCACTTTATTTTAAAGTTCATATTCGTTCTTCCGTAAAATCTTTTACATGATGTAAAATATAGTATTACCCTCACCAAACTGTTTTCTTTGGTACTAGAGCGACAAGAAGTCTATAGTTTAGCATAGGTTGAATTGTTCACTTAAATGAAGAATTTGGGAAATTTCTTTTTTCTTTCGATAGGTGAAGATATTACAACAGTATATTAACAAGCAAGGCATCTTTCGTATCAAATGTCTAATTATATCTATTCTACTATTTTACTTTCTTGTGTGGTAGTATTGATTTTATCGAGAAGTTTTATTTAAAATTATTTTCTGGGTCTTGAGTAATAAATGAACTGCCACTAATAGTTCTATATCTTGTTTCTTTAATAGATTAAATAGATGCTTAATCGAGAATTACTTTTTAACATTACTTTCTCAAGGCAAAAGTTACCAATTATCCTAATTTATATTTAGCGATTGGATACTTTCTTTTCTTTCTTTATTTTATCAATAATTTCATTAGCTCAAACCAATATTACTCAAATTTGATATTGCTGTGAATCTGAGACATGCTAATATTTGAAATGTAGCAAGAATAATTGTTCTTTGTCGATTGAAATGAGTAGTATTATGGTTTTTATTTTCAGAAGTAAATTGTTGTAATCCACTATTCAGGAGTTAAACATGATTTCATTTCATCAATTTCCGAAGGGCAATATATCATTTTTCTAGTTTTTTTTTTAAATTCTTTATAAATTTATCAATGTTCGAATTTTTGAGAAATGTATTTTTTAAGAGGAGTTCTTAGGTAAGATCTTTAAATTCTATGAATACTATAATTTTTTTCCTTCCTATATCAAAGCATCTGTGATGCGAACAATCTATTTAGCTTGAATTTCATAGATCTAATCATTTCCAATGATTTTATTATAGAATTTCATTATATAATTCAGCGTTGGTGGTATGTTTGCAATATTTTCTATACCACTTGCATTAAACAGAAAGTTTGATATTTCTTCTAATATCATTTTGTTTCTTATTGATCTTTATTATTGGAATATTTAATTTAATTTCTGGGTCAAAAACTATCTGAATAACTTCTACCATAGTTTCTTCCAAAATTCTTTGTTCATAATAGAAAACTGTTTTTTTTTTATATTTATTTCATATTTTCTTGTAGGTAGACAGTAGCAACCTTATTCGTTACAAAACTTAATCTCTAAGTTACTTTGTATAAGATTAATAATGGTTATGATCTGGTTATTTCAAATAATTCAAATAACCGGTTGACTAGTTGATAGGTAATATCTTTTCATTTAAATATCAATTACCTGGTTACTTATTAATACTATAGCATTTGGGCAATCATGGATAATATTTTGAGTAATTTACAGATAAGGGCCAAAAAATAAAAATAATTACAAATAAGGGCACCAAATGAAAATAATTTAAAAATTATTACAAATAAGGGCCCAAATATACTATCAAAATTGCTAGCCTACTTAAATATAATGGTATTATTATTAATTACCTCAGTTTTAATTAATTAGATATTTTAGAGTTATAGTCCATTATTCAGAATTAAAAAAAAATCCAACTGATCAGATATTTAAAAACCTGCAATGCAAAATAAAAAATTAATATTGTGTGGCTTAATAGCTTTACTTCTTCAAGCTACTATGTATGAAGTCTCAGCCTCCACTTCAGAACGAACACAATTTATAATATCATGAGGTCAAAGTACTGCTATTTCATTAACTAATGATGCAGTAAACTTTACAAGATACGATTTATATGCTTTGAATGCTTCCATATAAGTTAAAGAAGTTGGATTATGAGGTATCAGCCTTGCTATATGAATGTAGTCATCTTTGCATTTGTTAACTGAAATATTAAAAGGGTATGAACCAGTTTCATTTGGAAAACAAATAACAAATACTTATTTTGTTTGTTCGTTCTGAACTTATAGGAAAAAAATTTGATAGAATAACTATCCAAGGCCAAATGAATATTTTCATGTTAGTGAAAGTCATAACGATCTGTAATTTTATATGGCATAGTGTTTGTTATAAGAATTATTATTGCATTTCTTATGTGCTAACAATCAGTGATTCTATAGGTGCACAATGTTTTACAAATTTGATCGTTACATCAATATGCTAACTGCGATAAATAGTTGGTTTATTATATATTTTATTATTTATTGTTTTTTTTTATTTATTTTTTTAGATTATAGCTGTCATTCAAGCATAATTAGTTGGGAACTTTGAGACTTTTTAGAATATTAACTATATTTTAGAACTAATTAAAATCTTGTAATTTAACTAATTCCATATTTATGAATTAGGATTTGGGGCAAAATTTTTAGATAATAACTATTTAGATAATCATTACATTTTAATTTTATTTTTTGTATTATTTAATATTTTATAATCATTTAGTAATTAAATTTGACAAATTAAAATTTTAATTATTGCTATTTAATAGTGAATATGTAATAATATAATTATTATCAAATCGTAAATTTATAGTTAAGTTATTTATTGTTAATAGTTATTTAATAAAAAAGATTTAGTATAAATTTTGTTAAATATTTAAAACTTGTAGTTAAAATATTGTTACTTATTTGTAAATATATTTAAAATATTTAGTTTTTAGATTATTACTTAATTATAATAATTTGAATACTATTAAGTTAACAATTGTCTTAATATATAGTAACTGCATTATAACTACTATTTTACTAAATTATAGTTTAATTTTAATTAAATATTTAAAATATATATACAATTTAATTATAATATATCTACAATTTGGTTACTATTTAATATGTTTCAGTAAAGTAATTTAATCTTTGATTAGTAAAATTTAAAGAGTGATATAATTTGATTAATAATCTGTAAAAATTAGTAATTAAAGCAGAAGATTTATACTTTTTTTTAAAGAATATCTCAATATAGATTTTTTCACAATTTATTTAAATATAATTCAATAGCTTTATTAAAAATATTTTTGACTAGTTTTAAGTATTTTTATTAATATTGAAACAAAAAAATTGAACTCACTTTTTAATACCACTTG